GACATATAAGCAATGTTCCTGTGGCCAGAAGCTGCTGTGTTTCTGTGCTGGAAAAGCCTTTCTCTATAAATATGGTATTGCTCCATTTCACATCTGCTTCCTCAGGTTAGGAGCAGTGTTCCCTCTAAGCTGAGTTAGTGTGAGCTAGCTCACAGTTTTTTAGCCTCTGGCTCACACATTTTTGTCTCAGCTCAGAAAGGATGGCTCCAGAGCAAACTAATCTATGCAGTAGCCAAATTGCTTGCTCACAACTTCAATGCCAGTTGCCCACAAAGTAGAATTTTTGCTCACAAGACTCCACAGCTTAGAGGGAGCATTGGTTAGGAGTTCTCAAGACACCCAGGGGAACATGCAGATGTCTGCATCTCCTTTCCCACATACAGTGCCATTCCCTAAAAGGACTGCTGGGAGAATTTTTACCGGGTCTTTTTAACCCTGTTAGTAGTAAGTATATCGCTATAGCATTAAAACACTATAGCAATATACTATTATTTTTCTTTAAAAGGAGGGGGGACTTGCCAGGGGCAGGGGGTGAGGGAATGGCAGGCAGGCAGGAAGTCTAGCATGCATTTAGGAGGGAAAGGACAGAGACTCTCCTCATGCAAAAGGAACCTATAAGGTGACAAGAAAGAAGGATCGGGGGATTTCCCCCCATAAAGATTACAGGATCTACTCCAGTCCCGGAGCACCACCACCTTCCTTTGTGTAATTTATCCAGTTTGTTGTATGCACAATTAAAGCGTAACATTTCCCATTGTTGAGACTTGGAATACGTTTGATACTCCTGCCCCTTCTACATTTTCTCACCACGGTGAAGTTTATTTTGTGCTCCCACTGCTAGCCTGCATGGACGTAAAGGGACACCGAATGATTTACTTTTAAAAATAGGAGAAATCAGGGCTATTTTTGGGCAGGAACGCACAGGAACGGAGTTCCGGCTGGCTCCTGAGTTGGCCACGCCCAGCAGGAACTCATTAGCATAATAGGCCATACCTAACAGCAGAAACTCATTAGGATTGGCTACATTAGGGGTGTGTGGCCTAACACGTAAAGAAGTTCCTGCTACAAAAAAAGGCCCTGGGTTTTGACAACAAAGTAAACAGAATAAGAAGCAAAAGGTGAGTGTGGCTGGATGACCACACTTCTGGTAACACGGGGGTGTGGCTTAATATGCTAATGAGTTTCTGCTGTTGGGTGTGGCCTATTATGCTAATGAGTTCCTGCTGGGCTTTTTCTACAAAAAAAGCCCTGGGAGAAATTAAATTAAAGGGAGGGAAATTGATTGAAAGTATATTCGCCTATCATCCCTTAGCAAACCCACTGACAAGATGGAGTGAGGAGGACAAGTTCAGTTACTGAGCTTCATTCAATAAAGACCGACATTAAAGTGAGTGGAAGTAAACTGAGTATGGGGTAAGCTCATCCATGGCCCCGATCACACGCAGAAGCAATACGCACAAATGCCGGACAGATTTTAAGGGTGCAATCACACGGGAACATCTGCCAAGCGTCCCACACCCGTCTCGCTCCACCAAAGAAGCAGAGTTAAAAAATACCGGGGAAAGTGCAGTAGCAAATGAGTTTCCGATGGGCCACAGACGGACTTCCCTGTATAATTATTCCAGCACACTCCCATTGCGTCAGTGACCCCTTGTTGGAGCGCACCAGAAACACACAGCAAAGGGGAAAAGCCGATTCACTCGCCACTGTGTTGGATGATGCAGTGGCGGGTCAAATTAATATGGCACAAATAGCCTTGCTTCCCCCCTGCGTTATCTGGCACGTGTGACCGCACTCAACGTTTCCGTTACAGGCTTTGTGTGATTGGGACTTTTGCTCGGACTCTTTTAGTCTCTCTGGCTTGACTCTTGGACTGGACTGTAAACTCTCCCTCTCTGCCTTGCCCCACTGGCCCTGTCGTGACAATAGCACTGTCCTCTGGCAAAATCTGATTCGGCAGAAGGTAGACCCTGTGGTCCTGGAGGTAGGGTTGCCAACTCCAGGTTAGGAAATTCCTTGAGATTTGGAAGCGTGGAACTTGGAGAGGATGGGGTTTGGGGAGGGGAGAGCCCTCATGCCATAGAGTCCTCTCTCCAAGCAGCCATTTCCTCCAGAGGAACTGATCTCTATAGTCCAGAGACCAATCGCAATTCCAGGAGATCTCCATGCCCCACCTGGAAATTGGCAACTCTACTTGTAGGCAGGGCTATTTTTGGGCAGGAATGAGGAATGCACAGGAACGGAGTTCCGGCTGGCTCCCAAGTTGGCCACGCCCAGCAGGAACTCATTAGCATAATAGGCCACACCCAACAGCAGGAACTCATTAGAATTGGCTACATTAGGGGTGTGTGGCCTAACATGCAAAGGAGTTCCTGCTACAAAAAAGCCCTGGGTTTTGACAACAAACAAGGTAAACAGAATAAGAAGCAAAAGGTGGGTGTGGCTGGATGACCACACTTCTGGTAACATGGGGGTGCGGCCTAATATACTAATGAGCAGTGCAGTCAGGGGTGTGGCCTAATATGCTAATGAGTTTTTACTGCTGGGTGTGGCCTATTATGCTAATGATTTCCTGCTGGACTTTTTCTACCAAAAAAGCACTGCTTGTGGGCAATGTCCCGGTGCTGCTGTTTTGTTGTGGAATCTGGTTCCGCCAAGTTAGGGTTGCCCACCTCCAGGTGGTGGCTAGAATCTCCCGCTATCACATCTGATCTCCAGGCAACAGTAGGGTTGCCAGGTCTTACATTGACGCTGGCGGGGGTGTGTGTGTGTCCATGTCACCCAGAAGTGAAGTCATCGTGCATGGCATGTTACAGGGGATCCTCTGCCATTTAAGGAAAAACTCTATGGTTTTGCCTTTAATGATTGACATTCCCCCCCCCCAATGTGCCCTTTGCAATGACATCACCTCTGGGCATTGCCGCAAAGTGGGTGCTTTGGGGCTGGTGGATCTGGGGGCCTGAAAGTGGGCAAACCTCCACCCCCAATGGGGGGAATGGCAGCCCTAGGCAACAGAGGTCAGTTCACCTGGAGACAATGGCCACTTTGGAAGGTGGACTCTGTGGCATGGTACCCCATTGAATTCCCTCCCCTCCCCAACCCTGTTCTCTTGAGGCTCCACCCCCAAAATCTCCAGGTAGTTCCCAACCTGGAGCCAGTCACCATAGCCGCAATTCCTACAATCCAGGTCTCAAAGGTAAAGTGAAGTTCTGAGGGCCACCATCTTCCCCGGGAAGTGATTTCAGCCAACAGAGGTAGGAGGGAGAGCTGACACGAGAAGAAGTTAGGTGGAATGGAAAGATACCATGTGGGCAGAGTATTTTTTTAAAGGGAGTGATTTTAGGAAGGAGAGGATGGAAAGGAGGACCCACCGGAGAG